ATCTATGCCACGAAGAATTGAGGCAGTTCTGAAGGCAAAAGGGGGTCCAACCCGTTACTAGCGTGGTGTACCTAATAAAGTGGCCGGTGAGTGTATATTGTCTGTTTCCTGTTTCCCAGGCATGCATCTTTCTATTAAATAATCTGAGACCGAGACCACACAGTTTCCACCTTGTTTATTTCCCGCATCTCTGCCCTGGTGGGATGTTTCCACAACACATAATATGTTGTGTAAAATAAATAGGATGGCGTACTGTACTGATTAATTAAACTCAGAAGTTCGAAGAACAGCTAAGATTATATATTTTAATATTTTCTGTTGTTGTCGTTCTGTTGTATATAAGGGTCTGCCAATTTTAAATGTTCCTTTTTCAGACAAAATTGAAGCTATATGTATCTGAAAAGGAAAACATGTGACAAAGGGTAAGGGTTTGACTATTCATTATTTATTTGTGTCACTAATACACAGCTTTTTCTTTTCACCAGATTGAACTTATGTCGAAATTAATTACAAAGTAAATAAATCAATCTGTTTTTCAAAAGGACAACTGAACAATATTGTACAAGGTTTGAGTTTAATAGTTTTACAATACGCAAATTTAAAGTCAAATTATTAAAAACATAAAATTTAATTGTGAACTATAAGCATGGTGTAAGGTAACAACAGTTAAGTTTGACCACATTGAACTCTGGACTTATTTCTTAACGAAACAAAAATGTTACAGTTTGTGTTGATCTTTAGACATACCTGTCCAAAAGAAAGCAGGCAACCTCGGCGTTACTTTGAAAATGTTTGTCCATCATCAGCTGTTTCCATCTAGGAAAGGCAACGCCGATGTTTACACGACTTTTCTGTCGCTGTGTATCACGATGTCTTTTAGTTTCATCACGTTTCCTTTTCTTTGCCGAGAACGATTCATGTTGTGCTTTCTGTTCTTCACGAGCATGATAACAATGATCAGCCATTTTAACAAATAAACTTTTCTACGGAGCTTTTCTTCGTGAGTTATTTGAGTGAAAACTGGTTAATTTCTTCTTCTTCTTCCGTTTTATGTCATCCAACAGTCAAACTACGCAACAGCGCCATGGAGAATAGTGGCCATTTATAGTGTTACAACGAAAACCGTTTTTGACGCCGCCAATGCAGTTTGTCCTTCATGAGTCTTCGTAGACAAGATGGCGGCTGCCTGTAGTGGCGACCCGCGACCATGGAGATATAAACAGTTTTTTATAAGGTAAAAATAATAAAACAAGTCTTTGTCTGCAATGATTAGACATGCTTTTTATTATTGTCATTAGTGATTATATCAATTTCGGCTAAAAGAATCGACAAAATCCTACACACTGTGCCTTTAATCTCATAATATTACGACTTTATTCTCATATTATGACTTTAATCTCGTAATGTTATGTCTTTATTCTCATATTGCGACTTTATTCTCATATTAAGAGTTAAACTCACATTACGACTTTAATCTCGTAACATTTACTTTAATCTCATAATAATACTTTATTCTCATATTATGGCTTTAACCTCGTAATGTTATGTCTTTATTCTCATATTACTTTAGTCTCATAACTTTAATCTCATAATATTGCAATTTTATTCTCATATTAGTGCTTTAATCTCTACGACAGAGTATTAGGGCCACACGAGATTTTTTTTATTTTCACGAGATTAAAGTCTTAATTTTATGAGAATAAAGTCATAATATTATGAGATTAAAGTCATAAATTTACAAGAATAAAGTCAATATTACCAGATTAAAGTAATAATGCTACGAGATTAAAGTCAGTGTTATGAGATTAAAGTCATAAATTTACAAGAATAAAGTCAATATTACCAGATTAAAGTAATAATTTTACGAGATTAAATTCGTAATATATAAAAT